TGCCAATCCTAGATCCGGCATTGATTTCGTACATACAGATATGTAATCAATCTGCATAGAATGGTATACAAATAATGAATGTAGAGTAGGAAGAATATTGTATTTCATGAGTTGAAAGATTGACTGTTCCATTCAATAGGGGAATAGGCCATATTATCCACACAAAACCTAGGCCCTGGGCTTGGCTAGAAATCTGTCAGTGCATTTTAAAAAATAAGGGCTGAATTCCGCACAGTTTTTGACCAGTCAGTGCATTTTAAAAAATAAGGGCTGAATTCCGCACAGTTTTTGACCAAATTTGAGTTAGTTTTTGAGGTATCATCCACACAATTAAAATACTTTGCAGTAAAACAAAATCTGTAATACATCAGGGGTGGATTTTTTTTTTGGGGGGGGGGGAATATCCCCCTTATATTAAAAAAAAAAAAGAAAAAAAATTTTTTGATGAGATAATTAAAAGATAAATAGAAAGGTTGATTCTATGTCACATCGTGCAATGCAGCTACAAAAACAGTTTAAGCACAGATGCACCAGCATGGAAACCTTTGTGCAATCAATCACTCTCTATGGAGGTCTGAAGGTATGTGCTATCAGACAACCCCATGCACAGTGACCACAGTACACTGATATGTGTGTACAGTGACCACAGTACACTGATATGTGTGCACATTTCCATTGACAACACCCCTTCAGTAGACCTACTCTTTTAATAAAGTACAGTTTTCAGTAACAGTTTGGCAGATGACGTATGCTGCAACTTTCTTTTCTACAGTTGAATTCCAGTAAAAAAAAATATATATAGGCCTATTACACGCCCGTTTTTTGTATAGCACACATTCATTTCACAAGTTTATATTCTAAAATATTTAACAGGCAACTCTATGGAGAGCTTCCTAAAATAAGCTCAGTCATTAGTGATCGTAGATTGAGATTTGCTGGACACTGTCATCGAGCAAAAGAAGAAATCATCAGGGATGTTTTGTTTTGGGAACCTCGACATGGAAGACCAGCTACAACATGCACTGACTCTTTACGAAATGAGACCGGTCTCTCCACTGATGAGTTAAAGGTGCTCAATGTATGATAAGGATACCTGGAGGACTTTCATTATGAACAAAGATCGACCTGAAAGGTTAAAGTATATTCTAAAATCACAACACTGTAAAGTGGTATCATTCTTTCTGTGAAAGTCATCCTCTTTGTGAAGCTACTCACATGACCCCAAGGACCGAAAAAAAAAAAATTGCTTGTTAATGTTATGAGCGAAGCAGGTTCTAAAAAGCAAGTATCAAAAATTGTTTGTTAATGAACCTAATATGAAAATAATTATTATTGCCAAATAGATGCTCGATGCTACTATATTCACAATCTGTGTCTATAGACTCCAAACAGTGAGAACAACTTTCAGTCTTACATAGGCCTAGACAGTTACAATAATATATACAGGTATGAACTTTCAAAATTGCGAGTGTGGTTTTGCACAGAGTAAAGTCAAGCTGCGCTAAATATGGCCCTTGGTTATTATAATAATAATCATTGCCATAATCATGAAGCAAAATGCTACGCTTAAAAAAATGGAAAAAGTCTAAGGGCAATAATTAATTGAAATTAGGTTCATGTTTTGTGCGAATTCCATGTGTTTATGCTTGGTTAGGATTTACTGTTCCACCATCATGTAATGCGATCGCCTCAAACTTTCCTGTCCTGTCCTGCAATTCATCGACCCGGCCCAAAGGAGAAGTGTGAATGTTCATAAGGTGGCCCTGGGCCGACTTAAAACAATAACTGTGAACGGAAAATTTGTTGAGTCGGCCCTGAGTCGGCCGTAATTTAAGGCGGTCCTGGGCCAACCCTAGGCTGGCCTAATAAGTGTGATTGGGCTCTAAATCAGCAACCTTGTTGTCAAGTCCATACGGAAGCACATGAGGTTTAATTTGAAAAGCATGTTGGCCTAGCCCGTTGCCAGCCAAGTTTAGGAATACCTAACCACAGCTGCGTTAGACACTAGGTAAGGCCTATAATTTAGAATTGAATTCGGTGTTTACACTGGTGACTCCGATGTGCACCTGGGTTGTCCAGTGCTGAATGCATCCCGCACATCGATCCCATAATATTTGGCAACCTGAATCATACTTTTGGAACCACAACTGGGGAGTTTCTAGCCCGGGTGTTGTAAAATCCAGGGTTATGTTTAAAGTTTTGCTTGCAGTATAAAAGGGGTATCTGTTGAGTTTCCAAATCTCCACCTAGGCGGCTCGAACTAAGAAATGATAAACACATTTGCACTGCCACAGACGAACGGGTGCTGATAAAGGTGGAAATCAGGACAGTGGCCCACTAGAGGTAGATGCAGGTCTGACAAGCAATAAAAAGAAAGAAATATAACAAATAATATCTGATTAATTGATGTTTGCACTAACCTCTTCACAGTAACTTTTTCAACCTTTTCGCGAATACTGAACGGTAACCTATGCAAACACAGGCTGGATTTGATTCAAATCTGTAACAAAACAAAATGTCACACTATCATGATGATACAAACTATTGTAATACAAATTGTACAATGATGCTGATATTTAATTTAATTCACAGCTACAAATGTGATCAGGGCAGATATCTGCGAAAATTACAAATCACAAAAGCATAGGCTACAAATACACAGTACATACAAAACATCAGTAAGTATTTACAAGAGACTCAGCAGGATGGATTCTGGGGAAAAATATAATGCACATACAGTATTAATTCATTATTATTGTATAAATAAGTTCCATTGATCATCTGATGAATAATCTGCAAATGCCAACTTAATAATCAACTTTGTAATCATGAAGCTACCTCAAATTTCAGAGATATTAAATACCTGTCTTCTTTCCTGCTCAAATATCACCTCAAGTCACTAAATGAAAAATTTACGAAGAATTGAAATTCTCAAAGCCTTCTGACAAAATTAGCAAACTCTTTGCCAGTGATTAGTGTATCCAAACACCGATACAATGGCTATAATGTTTGCCAGCAATGATAGAAGTCTACAGTAGACCTATGCCAATTCCTAAAGAGTTAACTATTGAAGCATGACAAACCCCACCCTATTTTAATAGGATTAAATGATATTTAATCATGTGGAATACCCCAGGGTACTATCAAGCAGACCTGACTCTTACTAGCAACGTTAACGTTTATGTTAATTTTGCCTAAAGTCAGAACTGAATCTGGTAGAAGAAGTTTTACTTTTAGGGGTTCTCGAATTTGGAATGCGGGGGGTAGGTAATTTTTTACTTCCTTCGTGTTTGTTTTTGTTTTTTTTTTTTATGTTCTGTGTTGTTTCTCTTGATTTTAATGTTTTATGTGCACTGGGCTCTCTTGGAGAACAGTAACTTTTTACTGAAGAGGTAACCCAGTAAAAAGAATAAATAAATAAAAAAATAAAATAAAATGTTGTACTCTCAAACAAGAAAAGTATATTTTTCGACTTTATAAGTCTATAGCAGTGCAATCTATGACAAAAATATAACATTCACTACTTTTTGGTGAAGATTTACCTGAAAAATGTAAAAACTATGATGACTTGCTTTATGGAAAATGTCTGTTAGTGTTATAATGATAATAATAATGCTAGATTGTTTTGAACTAATTGGGAAGGAACCACCTAGTGCTTTTTGAAAAAAATAATCAGAATACAGAACTGTTACTTGTGTTAAAATACTAAAACCACTGGCGTAGCTAGGTGAAAATGGGCCACAGTGCAAGATTAATTGCTGGGCCTTTTAATTGCGAAGTGTCAAATGAGGTCCACAGGCTTGAGTTATGATAAGTGAGGGTACTGGGAGCCGTCAATTTCCCCTGGCGGGGTACGGAATCCCAGAAATCACTGTTTTAAATTTTCTGGAGTCATTCTAGGTGTACTGGTTAATAGTGGATCCAGGAATTTGAAAAAGTTCTATAGCACAGACCTGCCAACCCACCCGATCCTATCGAGTGTCACCCGATATCTAAGCAAATCTTCGATTTTACAGGTTCCCTCCGCAAAATACTCCGATTTATGCATAAATGATTGATTTGATCGTTATTATTCAATGTATTCACTGCGATAGACAAGCAGCAATTTAGTAAGTTGTTTTGCAGTAATCTTGTACCATTGATTTTATACCACTATGATTTGTCTTGACGCGTCTTTTTTAGTAAATTGCATCATCTTTTGGTTAATTCGGAAACATCCAGATATTTTGGTAAATCTCCAGATTTTTTGAAGATTTTTGAAAAAATCTCCACATTCTCATGGCCCAGGGGTTGGCAAGTCTGATAGCACCACAGCCCAACCATGGTTGGGGCTGATGTAAGAAACTTTATATGATTACTGTGTATGTCACTTCTAGATGACCAGAAATGGCACTCCTTGATTTTTTGACAAACTTAGGGGGAGGGGCAGATTTACCCCTTGAATCTGCCACTACTTATTCCTGTTTTAAGAAAATTCACATTTTAAGAAAATTCATCATAAGAAGTGCTTTGTATAATTTTAACCCCTACGCCTAAAGGCCTACTGTAGGCTAGTAATGAATACTAATGATAATCGGAAACTTTGTAACTATTTCAAGAGAGGCCTATGTAGTCACAGCAGACAGTTCAAAACTAATTTTAAAAATTGGTGGCACGTAAAATTAAACAATTAAAATGAACACATAATTACTCCTCTGAAAACCTAAACGTTATTCAGCAACGTGCTAGCAGTTTTTCTTTAAAAATATTAAGATTAAAATCATTAATAATTATTATTTTTAGGTCTATTTATGATGGGCCACTAATAGCCCTGGGCCCCAGTCCTTTGCACTGGCTGGACTGCCCATCCCTATGCCAATGACTAAAACTGACACAAGACACAGTGGAATGATTTGATTGGCAATTTTATATAGAGCACTCTTGGGGTAAAATATTTATTTTCAACCATATTTCACTAGAGAAGCCCTATTTACAATTTATTTAGGCGCGATCCACAAATTATCCCCAACGGGAAAACCATGTATTACAAACGCGTCTGGGAAAGCGATCGTCTAATTATCGTGCCCCATGAATATTAATAAGCTAGTCGGAATATGTCCCAGACGCGTCTAAACGGGTTTGTGCTTTTGAACGCGTTTGCCATTATTTCTTTTGTTTTGGGCGACAAACGCATCTGTGCCGTTAGACCAGGCCCCGGTTGAACTACAGTTTTTGTACAATTTAAAATACTGAACAAGTTTTACTTTGAAATGAACCAAGTTCAAAGTTTAAAGGCTGCATAGTCCTAATAGTTAAATTAAGTGGTAAATGACGATAATGGTAGCACATGCATGTAGGCCTAATTGCCGTTTGCTCTGTCGGAAAGACCTATCTTCGTTAAATAGCAGCCTACCAGCTAAGAAGCTGACGACGAACGAAAAAAACATTTATCAACTCCCTGCACACATACTGTATCACGTGGGAACACAAATAGACGCCAGTATTCGCCAAACATCATTCAATAAACCATAGAGAAAATAGAACATCTATTTTCTCTATTATTAAACGTAGGCATCAATATATATTATATATAGCAACTAGGCCTATAACTACTGTACAATTAATATTGGGCACCTCGTGTGTGTGGATGTGATCAGTCCAACAGAGTACGCAACATCACGTGACAAATGTCACTGACTGTGTGGCCGGTGTTAATCTATACATGGAGGAACTTTCCTCCATGGTCTATAGAAATTCGCTTTGAGCGCTGCTCTGACAGAAGTGGGTCAGTTGAGATGCTAACAATAGGGACGTTCGATGGAGTGCCTGGATGCCAGTTTAAAGTATGGCCTTGTCTGCTTGCTGTTTAATTTTTTTAATCTTGCATAAATCTTGTTTTGTATTTTATATATTTTTATTGGTTAGGCCTACTGTTATTTTATGTTTGGAAGCTGTTTATGTTAAATAAAAATAATATTGAGTGTTGAAGGCCTATGATAATGTCATAATATAAATAAAACATACAAGTGAATGTTCGTGTACCGTTGTATTTCATTAATAGGCCTAATTAGGTGCTAATTCTTAACTGACCCAAACGAACATGTAGTATACAGAAAACAGTATTCAATTCTCATATTCGGACATTTATTTATCCATCGACAAAAAATACAAATATATACTGTATACACATGCTACAGGCCGCTTTAAATACATGAGTCTAGGATTCGGGGCTAGATTCTGATAGATAAAAGTTAAATTATGATAGTAAACACCATCCCGGTATATAAGTTAAGTTGAAGGAAATGAAATAAATATTTATACACTGTTTTAATATTTGCCTCGTGATTTTATTTAAGTTATCAATGCATATTCCCGATGATTTATTTAGGCCCATTAAATACAAGCATTGCATAAAATTTATAGTGTTCATGGATAAAAATGAGGCCTACCCTATTCTTCCTCTAGATACATTTGGCTACATCAGAAAATACGATACGCATGGGGCGATACAAAAATCTTTATTGAATATAATAGTGAATATGGTATATCAACATGGTAGGTGTTGATGCATTCACTATTGTTATAGTTGATAATTATTTACAAACAAACTGGCTTTTCTTCCGAAACGATGGGGGGGGGGGGGGAAAGAAAAAGTTATGTATTTTTATGATATATTAGAAGACTCGAAAATTGATTAAATAAGCCTTTGATACATTTAAATTTTCGTAAATCCTGGGGTTTCAACCCTGAAACAATTCCAGAAATTTTGAGCGACGCCCGACCACGCCCACTTACGCTTTCGTTGCCAACCCTGTCGGAGACATCGTATCCCCATCTGCCAAATCCTGCCGCTACCGGTCCCGTTCAGAAATAAAATCAATTCACTTTGTTTTGTATCAATATTCTTACTTATTCTTACCAAATTTCACTGAACGCGTTTAACATTTGCCATTCACGAGCAGTCAGCCATATGAAAAGGGGAGGAGTTAACTTCCAAACGGAATAAACGGCTCGAACGACAAGCTTCCAAGCGGTATTTCACAGACGCGTTTGGGAGCTTGTCATACAACAATAGTAAACTTGTTTGACCCGTTTCTGTCGTTGGGGATAATTTGTAGATCACGCCTTATGATGGCATCCATCCAATCTCAACCGTCCTCACTCAATTGAAAGCCAAATTTGCAAGGTCACTGCTATCAAGCCAAATATCAGACAGTCTTTGATATCATTGTAAGTTTTTCCTGCACCACTCCCTGCATGCCCGTATCTAGGAGTGGCAAAGGGGGGGGGGTGTGGGGATTGCACCAATTGCAAATATAAAAAGTTCACATTAAGACAGTTGAAAATGTACAAATGTACTAAGTATAAAATTTGTTACTTTCTGTATTAAAAATTAAGAGGGAATCTTAAATCTTTACATTTTAAATAATTTATCGGAAACCCCTATATTACTGTTGTGAGATCCAACCATCACTTTCTCTTGACCCCTCAGGGGTTATAG